TTATTATTATTATTATTATTATTATTATTATTATTATTATTATTATTATTATTATTATTATTATTATTATTATTATTAACATAATCTTTACCCGAGTAAATATATTGTCATCCGAAATAAAGGGAAAAAATATATTTAAGTTGACATCGAATGGTTCATAATTCCTGGTATTTTTGTGCCGGCCCCGATTGATTCTATAACAATATTGCGAGTCCACTTTTCTCTCTGTCTGGCCTGACGTAAATCCTTGAACACATTTGTTCGCTTTAAAACAAAATAAACAGGCCATTCACGTATATTTTATTCACACCAATTAAACTGACCAAGACATTCAAGCAATTATTTTTTTAGTCTTAGCGAATGATAAATGGAGAATGGCAAGTTCAGCTTATCACAAGTGATTTTCTGCGATGATAGCGACGCAATGAGAACGGTAGAGTTTATGGAGCACAAGAGAAGAAGCACAGTCACGCCCCAACACAGTAACCCTGAATTCTTGTTGTTGGACCACGGATGATTTAAGAAAGGTGTAACGTGAGCCATTTATCTCCGAAACCTACAAACCTCTCCATATCGCAGACGGGGGGAGATATTAGAGGGATCAAGAATGAGGTTTACGGCAAACGGGGAAAAAATCGCAGCTAATTTACAATATAAAATATAAGAAAAATTGTCCTATTCGCAGAAAATACAAATATTCTCACTTTAGCGCGCAAACGACTAAAAAAAGACAACAAAAGTTTGGTTTGACGTTTGCAGTTTGCCGCAAATATGTGTTAAACAAATGCGAGGGATAGATGGCTGGAGAGTAGCCAATCAAATTCTATTTTTGCATATTTATGGCCGAAACTGATGGAGTCAAGGTCCATAAACGCGCAAAATAGAACGAGGGCGATATCTAGCCACCTTGACCGAACAAGCTTGGTCAATAAAAGATTCATTTTATGGGATTCAGGGAAATTCGTATGGCGGGACACAGCGCGTAATCCCGTGCCGGCGAGATATACGCCATCTTGCCCGCCCGGGTAGCCAATCACAGGGCAGGATTTGGTTAATCTTGCCCGCTCACGGAGCTCGCCATATAATAAACGTCATTTTTAACTGCTTTGTTAACTACCTGGGGGAACAGAATTCGGCCGAGAACTGGGGTTAGGGCTCACCGTAACCTGCGATCAGACTGGAGGGAGGGAGGGAGGGTATGATCGCAGATTAGGCTCATTATGTCCGGCACATGCCACCAAAGAACGATTGATCAAGTCCACAGACAAGGACGAAAGCTTTTAAAAATTTTAACAGGGTTTTTTCCTAGAGGTACACAGCTCAAACTCGTCAAATTGGACTATTGACTGAATTTCTCTTCATATATGAAACGGTCGTTGTTTTGTCGAAAATTCGGATTTGGTAACCGTGCCCACAGCATTTCAGGGTGAAAACGCACCGATTTCGTACACCATTACAAACGAGATTTCAGTGCCACTCGATCGCCTGACACAGCTCAACCAGCTAAAACAATTTCCCACTCCAGATACTTTGGAGAGGCTGGGCACCTGCTATATATTAAATGGAAGTGTTGGTTCAAACCAATCCTTGGGACAGATGTTCTTGAAACAAGTAAAACTAACGTTAAGTATTTTCGCGTTACAAAGGATGTTGAGCGTCGAAGCTAACACGGCTCTTGTTCGTAATAAAGAAGTGACCGCTATTTTTTTCTGTTTCTCACTATGAATTACCGCCAATCGTAACACTGCCCCCTCTATACAAAACCGACACCGCCGTAGCAATAAGTACAAGCTCATTTCAAATCCACGAAAACTAAGCAGGAGAGCCATTCAGCCTTTAGATGTATATATTCTTTAAAATAACATCTTTTTACAACAATAAGTCAGGAGTGAATTTATTGTTGAGCGAGAGCTACACATAGCTTCTCAGTTCACGTTCGATTGGAATTGGAATTTACAAAACAGTTATATACTTAGCTCTTATTAACCGAACTGGAGGTCTGTATGGGAGAATCTTGACCGAGGTCGGGAGTAAAGACCGAACGCAGTGAGGTCTGTGCACACAACCGAGGTCAAGATTCTCACATACAGACCGACTAAGCTCGGTTGATAAGATGTTTATTATATGGCAAACAAGAAAAAATTAATTCGTTTAATGTTAACTGGTTTGTACTAGCTGACATTTTGCTTGCGAACGGCGATGAGCTGAACTTACTTCTGCCAAAGTTTGCTCGTCCTCTTTACTTTTTTTCTTCATCAGCCTTGGCACTTCCACAATATGTATATTTTCTGGAACCAATATTTTGGAAGAAAATAGTCAATATTTTTGTATTTAGTTTGCAACTTTTTCACGGCAAAACGTAATCGGTCGAGATGTCGGTCTAGATGGGAAAATCTAGACCGCGGTCAATATCGATTTCAGCCAATCAGATTCGCGAATTCGGTAGTTCCCAGTCCTTGTGAGACACAGCCATATAATAAACTAGTATATAAACTTTAACCAATAACAAAATAACATTCTAATCGATAGCTTCTCTTTAAATATTAAAGAGAAAAACTCTGGATGGTATAAAATTTCTTTTAAACACTAATTTTGGCCCGTTATTATAAAATTTTTCTATTTTCCATCACGGTATCTATCATTGACTAAAAGAGAAAATTTTTACTTGAATTAAGTAGAGCGGTTTCAACCGAGTATCGAAATCAAAATCGATGTTATCACTTTGGCCAATCACAAAGGATGCAGACAATCCAGTAAACCAATCAAAACGCGAAGAAAATACATGGACCCGCGGCGAAGAGCGGGAAAACGCGTGCGAACGAGTTCTGATTGGATGAAAAAGTGGCGCCAGATTTTTTTGGCCAATCAACGTACGTCGTAATACAAAACCAAAGCAAGGGCGAATTAGTTTTGATACCCAAGTGAAAACCGCTCTATGGTCAACAACTACATTTATGGAACTACATATATCTCCGCAAGACAATGAGTCGCATCTCTTTCCACCGAACAACTTTCGGTGCCTTCGTCTATGAAGTTTCCGTTCCTCTTAAAGCATTCATTTTTAAGCGACAAAACGATGACATTTTTGAAGGCTCAACTTTCGCTTGACTGTAGAAGAAAGAAGGGAAACCTCTGGGACTAAGGTACATTTCGGTCTTATTGATTAAAAAACACTATTTCCCAAAAAATTGTTCGAAATAGCCCAAGAATATAATATTTTCGATACTATTACGTAGACTAGTTTAATTGGGGGAATATCTTTTCTTCCACTGGCGACAAAGCATCTTGTTACTCCGTTGCTTTTCCAGTGTAATATCCCTGGGGTGTACACAGCCCCAGGGGTTACAAGGTAGTGGCATGCCATTCATCTCCCGCGCCAAGCAACAAAGCATGTTCCTGGGAAATCGCGGCGAGTTCCTTCAGCCATTCTTCCAAGACCACGATACAGTAAACAGCGTTTTTCGCAGTCTTTGGGTTTTTCCTCTTAAACGTGTTCTTCGACAAAGATTTTCTGGGCGAATTCTGGGGACTGGCGAGTTTTTGAATTGTCCCCGGTTTCGGGAAGTTCTCCGCGCTTACATCGGCGGTGCTTCCGAACTTCGGGCTTAGCGAGTTCAAACTCTCCCACGACTCACTCAGCGACAAACTTGAGCTCGTGCTCGCACTAGCGTTACTACCTCGTCTCTCTTGACTGGCTTTGACCAATTTCGGACTCATGGGAGGGTCAAGAGACTGTTTGCGCAGAATAGCACCCCCCTTGACAAAACTTTTGGGGGCAGGCCCGTCTTGAAGCAAGCGAACGCTACTCAAGAGCGAGGAATCCGTTTTTTGTCGCAGCAGCTTGTGAGCCGTGGTGGGGCTTCGCGGCTCGGAGTGTTTGGCTATTTTCTGCGGTTGTTGCACGTCTGCAACAACGCTTTGTATACTTACACGGCTCTTTTCCTCGCGGAGAATCAAGTTCTTTCTTGCTCGACGCAGTAACTTGTCGAGTCCGTCGACTTGATCCACAATGTTCTCTACCTTGATTTTCACTGAGCTCAGGATCTGAGTGAAGAATAATAAAATAACAGTTAGATTCAGTGCGGAGTCCGGTGATAAATTCTATCTGAGAATAATTTTTTGACTTGGAAATCAATGCGGGTAGCTCATATGGTTAGTGCGTTAGACTGCAAGTAAAGGTCACTTTGTTGTTCACTTCTCTTGCTGACAGTGCCCTCTTTACTCTCGAGAATAAACAGGTCGGAGTACTATGAGCATCCCATACAGCGACATGTCAGCAGGAATAATGCCCTGGCTTATTTAGCCTCTTTCGCAGATGTTCTTTGGGCTCGTCACGTAACCTTCTTCTTTACAAACAAAGGGAAAGAAATGTGCTGGGCTTTTTTTGTTCGTGGAGAAGAAAGAATGTGTGACGAACCCAAAGAGCGTCTGCGAAGGAGGTTATGGCTTCTTAAGCCAGTCTCCCTCTTGCAACGTGCCCTGTGCGTAACACAAAGCTTAAGGTCATTCATCACATTTGCATTGCGCATCCTTACTGTGCATAATTTATGGCGTCATTAGCGCGCTCGTGCACGCGCACATTGAAAACATGACGGATTTGCCTTGATATTGAGCTCTGTCAGTTGAAAAATGGCTCTAGCTCACCAACGAGCACGGGC